TTCTAGTTATTACACATATCGCCGAATTCCTACCCATTTTCGAGAAAAAAATTCGAGAAGGTGTGAAATTTTTCGACGGAAAAAAAAATTTCAAATCGTTCTGGAAAAATTATTTTCGGTTGCGGGGGTCAATTACAATCATTTTTGGTGAGTAGACATACCCCCGAAATCCTATGCATTTTCGAGAAAAAAATTCGAGAATGTGTGAAATTTTTCGACGGGAAAAAAAATTTCAAATCGTTCTGGAAAAATTATTTTTGATTGCGGGGGTCAATTACAAGCATTTTTGGTCATTATACATACCCCCGATATCCTGCGCATTTTCGAGAAAAAAATTCAGTACCGGCAGAACTTTAAAATTTCTTCTCTTATAAATTGTGCTAATTTTTCTAAACAAAAAGATATAGAGGGGTAAGTGGGTGTTACGAGCGTTTGAGACCTCTCTCCACTAATCAGAAAATCTATTATCTTTGTTTGATGATAAATTTTTAATCCTGAAAATTTTAATATTTCCCATTTGTAATTTTGGTGATCCTTTTTCCCGCTTATCGTTGTTAAATCGTGCATTGTGTATGCAACAAACTCGAAGTTGTTCATTTGTTGTCCCGCTAAGTGTGCCACGGACTTTATTCTTTCCGATTCCCCATAATACACTACCGCGCCATTTATCCAGTAAGCTCGGAGGACCGGAGGTGACCCGGATTTTTGGATTTTCCGGTTTCCCAGACCGTGGCTTGACGTACAGCGTGGGGATTTTAAATCGGAACATCTAAATATCTCCGTTAGCTACGGTCGCATGAAATGCACCTTGAAACAGAGTCGCGTTATTTTAAAAGGACGCGTCCAACGACGGGGCATAATTTGTCCTCGAACGGGGAATAATACGCGTAATCTTTATATTTAAACGCGCCTCCGTGTTCTCTATTCGAAGTATAACATCGCACTAATAGCGCGAGAAATGGAAACATAAACAGGTGAATTCTATTCGATGCGTTATGTAAACAGAACTAATGCGTCGTTAATTTCGAACGCGGATCTAAATAAATTACTGCACCGTCCGTGATTTGCAGACCCGCTTAATACGATTTATAGATTACGGCGATGATCCAGAAATATTTACACGTTACTCTCGCAAAGTGAACGTCACTCGATTAATTTTTATTTCTATTTAGAAGTACACTCGACGTTTCATCGCCGTGAAACGTCAGTTTTCGATCCACTATGGTCGACTCTTTGATATTCCTGACGCCCCCGTCTGTTGCCGTCTACTTTGTCCGTAGGCTCGACTCGAAACGTATGCAAATTTTCAGCAACGGTCCGTGAATTCCATTGTCGAGTGGTGAAAAAAAAAAAAAAAAAGAAAAAACGACGCGAAAACAACTATAGAGAGCGCGGCGAACAAGACCGCGGTTTCGCCGGCGTAACGCGCTGTGCAAAACACGATTAAGACGGGCTTTTCGGCGTGCAGTGCCTTTTTAAATCGACCCTTTTTAACCGTCTTAATGGTGTTTTGCATCGCGCGTTACACGAGTGGAATCCGTGGCCTTAATTCCCGTTGCGCGAAAGTAAGCCGTCTCTTTCTTTTTTTTTTCCCCCACCTTTATATTTCAGTTAACGACTTTATTCACCGTGTCGAAAGAAAAATGAAACAAAAACAGAACGCAAGTAGGACTTTGACGGCGCAAAGGGGGCGATTCGACGTTCGCTGAGGGCCCGCCATAGTTTCTGCTAATGATATCGTAAACAACACAGTACGAAGACGTAAAGTGCTATTCCCATTCGGTCATTCTTGCGAAATAGTATTTAAAATCGATCTCTGCCCCGTTTCCATCTGATTTATGTGACTTTTTTGCATCCCCGATACACGAGAGTCACGAGGGGAACGCGTTTTTACTAAAAACTTTTTAGCCCCTGAAATTCGACCGAACGATAAATATGTATGTGTGTCGACAGAAACGTGGAAGAGTGCTTAATCTCTTGCTTAGCGCGATTTTCCATCGCCATCGCGAAACTAAATGGTATGACATTTTCAAACCGAACGTTGCACATATTTTTCTCGAGCTCGGGGCGAATTTTGAGTCCGGATCGCGAAAAGGAACGGTCGAATGGTTCGTTAACGAGGTACTCGGCGGAAACGAATTCGTCCAGCGGAATCGTTATTTTGTTCGTCTCGTTACGAATCGCCAAGCCGCGAAGCATTTTTCGCGAACCGCGACGAGACGGTAAACGCAACGAGACAAGTGTGAAAATTTGTCGCGGAACGATGGCGTTCCGGGGCGAAACAGTTGCCGGTGGCGTCGACCCAAAAGCCTCGCGAGTCTCGAAATGATAAACGACGGCCCGTTCAACGTACGCGTTGCTTCTTCTTTCCTATATTCGCGGTCGTTCGAGATTTCGAACCAACCGCGCGATTTTGTTCCTCGCGACCTGGTATCGGTAGGTTAAGGAACGCGTAAGGGACGAGGAGAACGGATAAATTGAAGGGTCGACGGGGGGTTGGAACGTCGAGTGAAAATGGGGGATGTGGTCGAGCCACAGCCAGCGCCACAACCACGACCACAGACAGCCGACAGTGGCTCGCGCGCTACGAGTCGTTAAGTCCACTCCCTGCCTTTAATGTCGCTGCTAAGTTCCGCGGGCTCGTTTCTCCGTTCCAGTCTATCCGCTCCGGGGAACCTTCTTTTCCTGCGGCGTTCCACCAGCCAACGCCATTGTCAAGTGCAATTCTCCCGCATACCTTCGACCGCGTTACAAATTCACCCGTCGGGATGCCCTGGATACCGGAAAAACCCCCGCTAAACTCAAATTTCCGACTACCTTCCAAGTGAAATTTTCCCTACGTGCTCGTACGTATGTGATATAAGATTTTACATGCTTCTAAAAATCTACAGATCGTGGAAACCACTGTAACGACTGAAAATACAAGCAATTTTTCGGGGGTAGCTTTGAAACTTCTAACGAATGTTGACTGTATTCAAAAGGGCATTTCTCGAGCTGCTTCTGGTAAAAATTTCGTATAGAAATATTAATTATTATGGACATGATATCGGAGGACCTCCAAAAATTTGTTTACCGGAAAAACCTCTGCTAAACTCAGATTTCCGACTACCTTAACAAGTGAAATTTTCGCTACGTTCGTGATATAAGATTTTACATGCTACTAGAAATCTACAGATCGTGGAAACCATTGTGAAGACTGGAAAATAAAAGCAATTTTCGAGAATTTTTCCGGGGGTAGCTTTGAAACTTCTAACGAATGTTGAATGTATTCGAAAGGGCATTTCTCGAGCTGCTTCTGGTAAAAATTTCGTATAGAAATATTAATTATTATGGACATGATAGAGAGGGACCTCCAAAAATTTGTTTACCGGAAAAACCCCTGATAAACTCAAATTTTCGACTACCTTCCAAGTGAAATTTTCGCTACGTGCTCGTACGTATGTGATATAAGATTTTACATGCTACTGGAAATCTACAGATCGTGGAAACCACTGTGACGACTGAAAAATAAGAGCAATCGAGAATTTTTCGGGGGTAGCTTTGAAACTTCTTTTAACGAATGTTGAATGTATTCGAAAGGGCATTTCTCGAGCTGCTTCTGGTAAAAATTTCGTATAGAAATATTAACTATTATAGACATGATAGAGAGGGACCTCCAAAAATTTGTTTACCGGAAAAACCCATGCTAAACTCAAATTTTCGACTACCTTCCAATTGAAATTTTCGCTACGTTCGTGATATAAGATTTTACATACCTCTGGAGATCTACAGATCGTGGAAACCACTGTAACGACTGAAAATAAAAGCAATTTTTCGGGGGTAGCTTTGAAACTTCTAACGAATGTTGAATGTATTCGAAAGGACATTTCTCGAGCTGCTTTTGGTCAAAATTTCGTATAGAAATATTAATTATTATGGACATGATAGGGAGGGACCTCCAAAATTTGTTGGAAACGTGTAATTTTTCACTGCAAATTCTAAAACAAGTAATCATGCAATTTTCATATGAAAACTTGACCACAGCTGAAATAATAAAAAACTCTCAAATGAATGTCCTGAAGTAAACTTAGTTTCAAGCGTTAGGAATATTTCATTTTTTACATCTACTAAAAGTTTTGCAACTTTGTCATTTTCTTAACCCCTTAACGCTCATATTTTTCGGGTCAACCAACAATGATCAGTTTTCTTTATTGGATTTGTATCTAAAAATACGGTTTTTGTTAATTACAATGTTGTATCTAACGTATAATTTGAAGGAAAACAAATATTATCATCCCTTAAACCGTTGGATTAAACAAGTATTATTTTTCAAAGCAGTCAGACTCGGGCATGAACGTTAAGGGGTTAAATTTCGATTTTTTCAATTCGTCACAGTGACTTCAATTAATCTCTATCAAATAAAAAATCTATAAACTGACTAATGTCTCGAGAAAGAAAGCTCGATATAAACAACAAATCGCTCCACGCGATAACAAATGCTCCCTGGTACGTCAGTTACGATCGACGTTTACAAATCATTGAACGTTTCTGTACAGGAAGAATACCGTCAATTGACTCCCACGCAAACGCACCGACAATAAACTCTTACTCTGACACAATTGGACCGAATCGTAAACACCCAAGAGATTTACGATCTTCGATACTCGCCATTTCAGTGAGGAATGTCTAAATATTTTTACTGAAAAATTCCTAACATAGATCGTGTCTATTAACACTAGAACTACCGACAATTATAGTGTGTTTATTTCTACCAAAGAAATTGAAACGATAGATACGCGAAGAAATATATAACGCAATGGAAATAAGTGTAAAATTACGATAAATTTTCAAAAATCATTTTGACTGGTTTGATAGTTCCAGTGTTAAAAAAATAATATCTCCAGGTATTTCTTTACGGAGTCGAGTAGCTGTAACAAGATTCCATCGCGTCGTAACGGCGGAGGCGTTTGAAAAAAGGGTTAAGGTAGAAGATTACGGATTGGAAAGGAGGGGTCGCGAAAAGAAAACTGCACTCGGTTTCCGTAACGTCTCTTTATATACTCTGGAGTTTCTCGCGATCGCCGACGAAGAGATTCCGTTGCTCTCGTGCGGTTCACGCGGATAACAATGAGCGAATGATAACGCGTCGACGTGGTAAAACCGCGACAGTTTAAGAGTTAAAAGGATCACAGGGCGACGGCGACGGCGTACCGGTAAGAGATCAGAGCCCTGACGCGGTTTCTCCTCGTTTTTTCGAGAAAAAAAGAGAAGAACTTTCCGACGACGAGGGATCACGGGAGGAACGAGACGCCCGTGTAAAACTTGGAAATGGGGAGAAATCGAATCGGGGCTCTCGAAGGCGAATATGGTTTACGAGCGACGCGCCGTCCGCGCCGCGCCCCGTCGCAAAATACTTCCGAAAATATTTCTTTTTTTTTTTTTATACGTATATCTGTTTCGGCGAGCAACGCGCGTCGCGACGTCGCTGAAAATTCCCTCGCCTCCGTTCCTTTTGTTTCGTTAATTGCGCTTACGCGCGGTTACGTATGTACAATGGCGCTCGTTTTCGAGAAACGTTGCGCAACGGAAACGAACGCCAGACTCCGGGGCTCGTCCTCGTCCCAGATCTCGACGCGTTTCGATCTTTTTATCGAGCCGCGCGGAAAAGGAACGGACGACGAGGAGGAGGGGGAGGCACGAGCCGGCGACAAAATCGATCTAAATCGCTGTTTTACAGAGTCGTCGCCCTATCTCTGAGGCAAAATATTTGGAAATCGATCCGTTGCCCGTGGTCCGCGTCGTTTCGACGAAACAAAATGGAGGCATCTTTGGATAGATTTCTCGTCTACCGTTCTCCGGAGTCGACGAACTCGCGACCTGCGCGAGTGCTCGTACCGTGAAGATTCGTTGTGGAAGCTCGCCAGCCGAAGGTTACCAGCGAGCACCGACCTTGGGGAATCGTGCGATCGTCGTCGAAGGTAAAATTAGTGGTCGTGTCTGTGGGGCGCACGAATGATCCGTGCTCGCGTTGGAACGAAATTAGGGAGAAACGCCCGCCGGGAATTGCGTTCTTCCCGGGGGCTCGTGGGGGTAACGGCCAGCCGTTAGGGGTAAAGATGACCGTGAATCGTATTCTCTCGTCGACCAACGACGTTGTACGCGGCACTCGAAGAGTTTTCAGGGGTGTAACGCGTCGATCGAGATGCTACGCGACAATGTCCATGTCCGAGGACGAGTTCGGCGTGGTCGGTGCCAGGCTACCGAGGGTGTCCTCGTCCGGTAGCCCGTGTTGACATCCTGCGGGGGCGGGACTCAACGGCGGAAGGTGAGGCGATGAGAGCATCGGATCGCCACTGTGTATCGGACCGCTCACGTCGTCCTCCATCAGATCTTCCAGCTGCGACATACTCAAACTCGTCGTCTCCTCGGTCACCAGCTCGGGAATCTGTCCAACAACCAACGAGATATCTCCTTGAAATTCATTTATTTAATCATTTCATTATTCTTGGAGCATCATGAAACTGCTCTGGGGGTCCTTTGATCGATCCTACTTACGTTTGAATATATTGAAAATTCGAGTTTTTACAGAACAGTTCTCTTTTTCTTGGATTATTTTTTCGTAATAGAGTATACAGGATGTATTGTGCAATTATTTTTTCGGAAAAATTAGACAGAGTCTGGCTAGTCATTCTATAAGTGACAAGTATTATAGTATAAGGCTACTCGAGGTGTTTACAAAACAAATCGATTCTTTTAGGTGGCCATTTCTTGCACGAATAAATTTAAATTAAATTAAGTTTGAAGGATTATTTGGAATTAAATCGTGCATCAAGGGGTTAATGGGACGCTTTAAAGGTGCAGTATATTTCGTTGCCAGCTTTGGAAACTCGGGAACTCGTGTACTTTAAGGGTAAAGAAAGATCAATCCTGGGAGGAATTATGAGTCTCATTGAGTCGGACGTTTTGGTCAGCCCTCGCAACGCCCGGGACTAAACAAAGATTAATCGACACTGTCCACATCCCCTTTACTGATGGTACCATATTATTCTTAACCCTTTAACTCCCAACACCGGTGCAACGTTCATTTTTAAAGTGCATCCAATTCTGTCGCCGGTTAACGTTTTTGAACGGGGAGTTGTAGTTTTCGATTTAGAAAATTCTCACCTCGCGGGAACAGTCGGTTGAAAAATTAGATTCTTCGACCCACTTACGTCCTCCACGGTTTTAATCACATTTTGTCACTCGAATACTACTGTTGTACCTGTCAATCTATTTATCTAACCACGTAACTAGAGATTATATTTTACATTGTGCTGTGATTTATTCTTTTAATAACAAAGAACAATAAACCACTCGAAAGATCAAGATCAGCTGACTCACGCCTCTATTCAAGGTTGGAAAGTCGCGACAAGAAAATTAAAGACCGAGAATCTGGTAACGTTGAGATACATTAAACTTTTTAGACACCATGATTCGGGCGTTTCGAGTGTAGATTAGAGTTCGAGAGAGATACCTACATGCTCATAGAGTTTTGCGTCATCAGCCTACGTCAAGAAATCGCGTTCGAAGTTTCGTATAATTCTTCGCTATCGTTACGTCATCCTTCACTTTTAACGAAACACTCTTTAGAAGAAAGTTCTTAGGACGTATTCGTGCTCGAGCAGAAATATATTAGAAAAAAATAATGTCGACAACAATAATCGTAACGTCAACAACAAAGGAGCTTCCTTCGCGGCCACAAACTCGCGATAAGCCCCGCATCGATCACAACGCATTAAGCTCCTGAAACTCCAACAAACGTTTCACCACTTTTACAAATGGCACCTAACCGGGAGTAAAAACCGTTCTCTCATAATTTTTCGAAAATATTCTCCGCGTCGAGGCGCGAGAACGAAGACGGTTAATAAAATAAATTTAACGGGTAGCGGAGTTCTGCGGAACTTTGTAGGCGAATAGAACAGTTTTTTTTTAGGTGAAATTTAAGATACGGGAAATTAGGAAGGAACAGCGTCCTTCGACGGGGAATAATTTCTGTTCCATTTCCCGGCTAACTGGTAAAGTTCGATGATGTACGTCAACCGGATACGCGAGTCATGTACGTTATCAACGTTTAAATTTCGAGTCGCGGGGAAGCTGCTTACACTCCAACGAGACTTTATCTCGAACAATAATTCATGCCGTCTCGACGCTCCTGAACGTGCCATTTTATTCGTGTTTCGTTATCTCTCGCGCTTAAGCGAATTCGTCGACCGCTATCTGGGCCCAGAATTCCGTCGCGACAACATCGAAATTGCGACGAATCGCGACAGAGGAGTCCCTCGAGTCACAGCTCCTCTTGGGACACCCCGAATTTAACCTCTTCCCTTCGAGTGGCGGGAGAAATAAACATTTCAATTCAATTCTATACACTATTTCTATATAATAGTTCGAGAAGAGAATCTATTCGACTTCCGAGAATGTATAGCACGGAGCAAGAGAGATCAGCCCTGGCAAGGAATTCCCAACAGTTTCGAGTCGAACTCTTTCACTCGACTTTCGAAGGGTCTGCAATTAAGTGGAAATTAAATACGTTCATCCAGATCGATTCCCGCGGAGAGGTTTCGGGGCTGAACAACCGCGTCTCGCGGCGTCGGAGTTCGATAACAAGCAACGCCGGAGCTATTATCGATTCGACATTGAATTTTAAGCGGTAACTCCGTGAAATTTCCGCGCGTTCCGTAACGAGCCCGGAAAGATAGGATACGTAGTGCCTAGTTTCTGCAAGAACTCGCGTCGCAGAAAGAGAGAGACGCGTCGCTGGAAGGAGGATGACTGATAGGTTACGAAGGTGGAAGGGTGAAGGAGGAGGTGGGTGGGAGGTGGAGGAGGGAGTACGGGTACGAGACGCGGCTGATACGAGGCGGGAGGGGGAGGAAGGGGATAGAACGACCGAGGACGAATAAACGAATGATTTCGTGGCTGGTAGTCTCGTAAGAACAGATGCGGATTATGAAACCACTCCCGAGAACGAAGCGAACGTTTATTCGGATCAAGGATCGTGAAACGATCGTCGCTGTCTATCGGCGTTGATCGACGTAACCTTGAAAAAATTCAAACCCAAGTCAGTGTCGCGACTGTCGTCGTTGCACGATGTTGAATGGACTCGTGCAACGGTTGAAGGATAAACGCGATAGAGGAAACGTTAGAGTATCCGGGAACGATGCTGAGCCGAGATACATCAATCTGACGTCAAATACCTATCGGACCTTTTCTGTAGGGAATTTGATTATCTTCCATTTTGTATAGACCTATTTTTTACGTAGAGTTAAAGGGACGCTGATAAATTGCAAAAATCTGACTTCAGTTTATCAATTATTATTGGAGCAAAAGGTACCTTGCGTTGTCTTTGAGGAACGCTTAGTCGAGATATATGAATCTGGTGTGAAATATCTATGGGACCTTTTCTGTAGGGAATTTGATTATCTTCCATTTTGAATAGATCTACATTTTACGTAGAGTTAAAGGGAAACTAAGAAATTGCAAAAATCTGACCAGTTTATCAATTATTATTGGAGCAAAAGGTACCTCGCGTTGTTTTTAAGGAATGCTTATTCGAGATATATGAATCTGATGTGAAATACCTATAGGACCTTTTTTGTAGGGAATTTGATTACCTTCCATTTTGAATAGCCCTATTTTTTACGTAGAGTTAAAGGGAAGCTGATAAATTGCGAAAATCTGACTTCAGTTTATCAATTATTGGAGTAAAAGGTACCTTGCGTTGTCTTTGAGGAACGCTTAGTCGAGATACATGAATCTGATGTGAAATATCTATACAACCTTTTCTATAGAGAATTTGATTATCTTCCATTTTGTATAGACCTATTTTTTACGTAGAGTTAAAGGGACGCTGATAAATTGCAAAAATCTGACTTCAGTTTATCAATTATTATTGGAGCAAAAGGTACCTCGCGTTGTTTTTGAGGAACGTTTAGTCGAGATATATGAATCTGATGTGAAATATCTATGGGACTTTTTTTATATGGAATTTGATTATCTTCCATTTTGTATAGAGCTATTTTTCACGTAAAGTTAAAGGGAAGTTAATAAATTGCGAAAATCTGATTTTCTGTTTATCGATTATTATTGGAGGACTGAGTCGAGATATACGAATCTGACGCGAAATATATATGGAACGTTTTTGTAGGGAATTTAATTATCCTCCACTTTATACGGAAGTATTTTTTATCTAGAGTCAAAGGGAAGCTGATAAATTGCGAAAATCTGATTTACTGATTATTAATTATTCTTGGAGGTAAACGGTGCCTCGCATTGCTGGAGCTTGTTTCTGGAAAACGTTGATTTGAAATATACGAATCTGACACGAAATATCCGTGGAACCTTTTTTGCAGGGAATTTAATTATCTTCCATTTTGTGTGAAGCTATTTTTCGCGTAGAGTGAAGGGGGAAGGGAATTATTATTGAAAGAAAAAGGGTACCTTGCGTTGCTGGAGCTTGTTTCTGGGGAAGGTGTTGATCATGCTCCCGGACGTCGAGGCCCAATTGAAGTCGGAGACTGGGAGCCCGTGGGCCTTGGCTTGCAGCTCCAGCTCCTGGACCCGCAACAGCAATCGACGATTCTGGTGCTCCAGCTGCTTATGCCTGAGCTCGTTCTGCTTCATCCTCGTCAGTTCGTTTTTCAACAGTTTTATATAATCGACAGAGGACTTGAGAATCGTGCCCTTGTTCGGTCTGACGTCCCGGACGATTTCGTAATACCTGGAACGAATCGTGTCACAATTACGGCCGACTACGTTTGCATCCATCTACCTTCATCGTCTTCGACGCTTCCAACACGACGATTCTCGAACGTCGTCGCTGCGATCAAAATAATAACGCGATTGCAAAGGATTACACGAATTCATCGACCCAGATAAGCTTTAATTTTATTTATATTCGACGGTGAATCTCGAGCAAAACTCTTTCCATTTAACCTCTTCGAGGATACACATATGTGTACTAATATTGAAATTATTGTAAATATTACATCGTAATAGTAACCTCTAGAGTTACGAATGAATATTTAAATACTCCAATGACACCACACGAATTGTTATAAAATTGATGAATATCAATTTGGTCCCGAAGAAGTTAATAAAAAATTAGACATTGAGCCTTTTAGTAAAATCGTAGGTTCTTTTTGCCCCTCGAATGGACGTTGAAAATTAGTTTAGGAGTTGACAGTTTGGTCCAGCGTTCGTATGCTCTTCGAGGATACGCATATGTATACTAATATTGAAATTATTGTAAATATTAAATCGTAATAGTAACCTCTACAGTTACGAATGAATATTTAAATACTCCAATGACACGACACGAATTGTTATAAAATTGATGAATATCAATTTGGTCCCGAAGAAGTTACTAAAAAATTAGACATTGACCCTTTTAGTAAAATCGTAGGTTCTTTTTGCCCCTCGAATGGACGTTGAAAATTAGTTTAGAAGTTGACAGTTTGGTCCAGCGTTCGTATGCTCTTCGAGGATACACATATGTATACTAATATTGAAATTATTGTAATTATTACTTAAATACTCCAATGACACCACACGAATTGTTATAAAATTGATGAATATCAATTTGGTCCCGAAGAAGTTAATAAAAAATTAGACATTGAGCCTTTTAGTAAAATCGTAGGTTCTTTTTGCCCCTCGAATGGACGTTGAAAATTAGTTTAGAAGTTGACAGTTTGGTCCAGCGTTCGTATGCTCTTCGAGGATACACATATGTATACTAATATTGAAATTATTGTAATTATTACTTAAATACTCCAATGACACCACACGAATTGTTATAAAATTGATGAATATCAATTTGGTCCCGAAGAAGTTAATAAAAAATTAGACATTGAGCCTTTTAGTAAAATCGTAGGTTCTTTTTGCCCCTCGAATGGACGTTGAAAATTAGTTTAGGAGTTGACAGTTTGGTCCAGCGTTCGTATGCTCTTCGAGGATACGCATATGTATACTAATATTGAAATTATTGTAAATATTACATCGTAATAGTAACCTCTAGAGTTACGAATGAATATTTAAATACTCCAATGACACGACACGAATTGTTATAAAATTGATGAATATCAATTTGGTCCCGAAGAAGTTAATAAAAAATTAGACATTGAGCCTTTTAGTAAAATCGTAGGTTCTTTTAGCCCCTCGAATGGACATTGAAAATTAGTTTGGGAGTTGAGAGTTTGGTCCAGCATTCGTATGCTCTTCGAGGATACACATATGTATACTAATATTGAAATTATTGTAATTATTACTTAAATACTCCAATGACACCACACGAATTGTTATAAAATTGATGAATATCAATTTGGTCCCGAAGAAGTTAATAAAAAATTAGACATTGAGCCTTTTAGTAAAATCGTAGGTTCTTTTAGCCCCTCGAATGGACGTTGAAAATTAGTTTGGGAGTTGAGAGTTTGGTCCAGCGTTCGTATGCTCTTCGTGTTCGAGCTGGCCGAAAACTTTCCCTTTAATTTGGCCAAATAATCGACGATCGCTTGATAATTGGGCGTGCAATGATAAAACCGGTCGAAAAACCGAGATCCACGAGTCGAGGGAAACGGTGTCGCGTTGTCGATGTTTGCCGTGGTCGTTAGACCGGGACTCGTTTCGTTATCAGGTAGACGATATCTTTTGCCCGCGTTGGCCTACTCGCGCGTGGCGTGTCTCGTCGCGACGCGTTCTCGTCTCGTCGTCGATCCTCCTTGCGCCTCTCTAGCGCGACGACGAGTCCAAAGGAGAGCCCAGCCCTCTCGACGGTGCCTTCTTTTTCGCGCCCGTTACGCAACTTGAATCAGCAAAGCTTAACGCCGCCGGGAGTGCCGTAATCGAGCGACCGAGCGAACTCGATTCGCAGAAACTTTTTCACCCGTAGCTCCTCGCGACGACGGATCGTGAATCGTTCGTCACGATATTCTAACTGGGTTTCGCAGTTTGACAAATGCATCCAAGGAAAGTTCGCCCGCCAACGGTGGGAAGAAATTTCGCGAAAGAACCTATGGAAACGCGTTCCTTTTCGGTTATAAAAGATGAAAAAAACCTGAAGCTAGCTTTCGACACATTCCTTCGAATTCTTTAGTCATTTTTAACTTGGCATTTTCGACACCGTGTTTCTAATCAGCGACCGTGAGAGCTGAAATTGCGGTAGGAACGGTTAGTTAAATTAATATCGCGGGGAAGCGATAGGAGTGTCTTTTCGTGTAGTTTGTTAATGAATTTTTTACGTTCGAATTGTTTTCCTCGAATGGTAATCGTTTCTTTCGAACATTCGACTGTTGAACTATCGTTGAATGGGAGGGAACAAGACCTATCCAGGAAGTAGTTACTGATCGTATTGGATCAGACGACTCAGCCTCCGTGAGGCCTGCGACTAACGAAGGAATAATCGAACTTGTCCGCCTTCGATTTTATCACAATTTATCAGGCTACATAGTCCAATCGATCCATGCAAAGCATCAGGTCTCGTAACTTGATGTTGAATCTTAAGAGACTCGTGTAAAATGGTAGAACGAGAAGTAATATTTGACAATTTTTACAACATAAAAAAATAGCCAAACATCACTTCTCCGCCTTAAAACTGCACTTTTATAAAATTGAAGTTTCGCTGCAAAGGGCTAACTTGTATTAATAAACATTGACTGAGTCTAAGAAGCAGACCTCAGCCTTCTCAGAGGTAGAAAACGTTTACTGTTATTTATATTACCGTCAATGCATGCATTTACTGTACATCGCGAGTGAAACTCGAACCTATTCACCAGCCCAAATGGACCCTTTGCGTAGAATTTACCAAAAGTGCCTTCTACACCAGTTACCCGTTGAAACTTCAATCTTCCTTTAACCTTTCCCCCCCAAGGCAGTGCTACCCAACCATTTTCACATCACGACCCTTTTAAGAAAGGCTAAACACACTTTCCCAAATGATGGATATTACATCAATATCGAAAAGAAATAAACTATTTCTTCTCTAAAGAATGTACGAGTCACCAAGCTTACGGGTTCGTTTACTCGAAGCGTTTCAATGGCGCCGGTCACTGGTGACCACCGTGGCGGTAAATGCGTCGATTTATCACGAATCTTTCCGTGACACAGATGTTGAGAAACGCTGCTCCGGGAACGAACGCAAGAAACGCGGCGAAAAGCATCAAAGGGAAGAGGGAGGGTCGAAAAAGTCGGGGGGGGTGGAGATTTTTTCGATTCTCCGCGAGCAGACAGTGACGTGAAAGACGCCTCCGACAACGAAAAATAGGAACAGATGGCCAACTCGTAAATTAACCCTACGATGTCTGGATATGAGAAACAAGTTTTTACCGTGTTTATCCCGTCGTAATATGTTCTGTAAACCGCGAAAGTCATCGACAAAAATTAATTAAAAATCGTCGATGAAACAGGGCGATGACAACCAAAAGAGGAAACGAGAAATATTCTTGTTTGGACAGAAATTTCAAGCTCGGTGTAAAAGATGGTTCGTCCATTGCTCGTTCGATAATAGTAAAAAATTCGTTGATTTAAACATTTCACGACGAACGGACAAACGATTTAACCGTTCGGTGGAATAAATTGATACGCGCACGTTTCATCGGTTATCGGTTTGGAATAAAATTTTCAGCTCCGCGGCCGAAAGAAGCTCCGCCGCGAGTAGCCGTACCGTGTCTAACTCGTGTCGCGCAGAGTTACGAACGGATAATAATGGCCGGCGGTAGATCGTCCAGCGAGAACCGGACGAGGGTAGAAAGAAACGATACGAAAACCGAGGGAGAGAACAATATTTATTACGGTTTACTTGTAAACGGCGAAAGAAACGAATGTGTGGTAAATCGATAGAGGGAAAGAACGATCGGTGCGTAAAAAGACGGATGAACTCGCGGAGACACAGACGGATAGACCAGCAACTAAAAAGAATGGCGGGGATCAGGGATGAGGAGCATTCCGGAATTGGAAACGTCGTTTCACGGATTCCTCGCGAGACCTCAGACCTCGTCCATCGGTCATTTCGTCAACATAAATCAACGAATGATTCCAATGCAAGCTCCGATACGAGCACGATACTCGAACGTTTGGCTGTTAAATTTGTCCGCGAATTTTCCGAATGGATGGTCGGACAAAACGAAAGACTGTAAAAAAATATTCCCCGGATGCGGAGAATTGTACTCACGGGTCATTGGTTTTGGGCAAGAGGGTGCCAAGCTCCTTGATTCTGTCGTTGATGTTGAAGCGTCGTCGCCTCTCAACTGAAATCATAATTACGATCGGTTGCAGCCACGGGAAAAGAGAGGAACGAGATCTGTTTTCCGAGCGAATCCAAAGCGCCTCGAAAAAGGAACTCGATTACTTTTTTACGGCGGGGGGAGGGGGAAACGAACGATCGATTGTTCTCGATTTCCCCGTTCGGGGCTGATAATGAAACCGCATTTCGGTCGAATACCGCGGTCGACCTGTTACGCGAATGTGCTGAAAATCACAGGCCCGAACGGACGCCAGAGACAATTAAACACGGTGCAGGGGAATTAAAGTCGAATGGTTTAAGTTTTTAATTCGAACGTAAAATGTACTCACTCATATTATGATTATCTTTCTTCTGTCGGTCTTTGGCAAGAGCGTGTATCTCCGCCTCGGTGAGCAGCAGGGGCTCAGGCTTTATTTCTAACTCCGGGATATTCGTCAGGCTTCCCGGTTGTCCGTCCTTCAAACTGTCGCCCAAGGATCCGCCCTCGAACGACAGAATGTCGTCCAGGAGATCCTCCGCCTGCAATCACATGGTTTTAATGCGATTACCGATAACGCGATCACCAAGGAACCCGCCAACGTCCCTAATTACGAACGGGGGAACGACGTCCCGTCGAAATCGGTCGACTTCCGGTCGCGCGACGTCGAATAAAATTACCCTCGTCAAACAAACTATCGCGATAAATAACGATCACCGTCTAACGATATCTTGCAACCACAGTGTCCTTCGGAAAATTCGAACCAATCGACGAACTCACGTATACGCGACAATGGCCGTCAACGGGGTCCAGCAGACAAACCTTTATCGTTTTCCGCGCTAACTGTTACTCTTGTACCCTGATTCGTAAACGAAGCGGGGAATTTTCCCGTTTCTTCTTTGCATTCGGCTTCGTTTTATCTCGCCCCGACCGCGCGTGATTCGCAACGAGCGTCGAGAGGAATTGCAAAGTGCCCAGCCTTTATGGTAAATAGTTTTGCCCCGGTGTACGCTCAACGGGAGAGAGAGAAAAAAACGAAGCCTTCCTTTCGACAGATAACGCACCTGCATCGCGCAAGCTGCTATCCGGTTTTATCGAACGATTCGCGATAAGTGCGCTTACGATCTAATTTCCCGACGGGCGTATCTCGACGAGCCATTCTCGTTCAAAGTTAACGTTCTTCGACGGACCCCATTGTCCTTCTGGTTTCGTCGGGACAAAAAATACCAAAGGGACGAGTAGGCCGACGTCTGACAAGACGTCTGGAATGGATGGTCGGTAAGGGGCGAACTCGGGGCTGAAAACAGTCAGAACATCGATCTCGATCCTTAACGTTGGCTCGTGTAACTTTCAGATCAGACGCTAATATATTACCAGCGACTTTTTACCAAATAATTTTAGCTTTTGTATACGTCTTTATTGTATAATGTCTCTGAGATAACCAATAACAATATTGATGACGATTTAAGAAAAAAATTCGGTCCATTGAGGATTAAGATCTCTACATACGAGTTCTCCTAAGCGACTCGAGATAGAATTTAGTTCCAAGAACTAGCTCCTATGGAGAGAGACTACTTTTTATAAACGAACTGCTCGTTAAACCTATGTTGATCCAACAGAATAGATTGTCATCGAGTTCTTTAAATTCGATAGAAAACGCCATTTCTGTGGATGAATCGATCGACGAGAAGTTGAACGAGACGAGGCGAATGGAAAAAAGCTAACCGAGATCGCGAGCAGCGTACAACGATTATGGTTATTCTGTCGCGTACGCGTAAGTGACGTAAACATTACGTAACAATAATAACCGACGCCTGTCCGTGGAAGAGCGCGATGATGCAGAGCTATGCTGCAGACAACGTCGAACAGAAGGCAGGGCGGGGCGATATGGCGGGGGTGTAGGCCAGAAAGCTAAACGACAGAGCACGCGACGAAGACGGAGCAAAGCGTGTTCTCTTTTAGGCCCCACGAATTATTAGAACTCTCTTTAACGCGTTCGGAGACCGATACCGAGAATTCTCGTTTACGCAACGGCGGCCATTTTTACTTTAACCTCCAAACTATATCACGGCGGAATCTGAATTCTGTTCTAACAAAATTGTTAGAAATTTTGTTTTAATAAAAATAAATTGTTAGTAATTGTTTTCTAACTGAATTGTAACTTTTAATAAGATTATATTCCCCTTCTTTACTAATTTTCGAGCGATCGATTTTCCCAGAATTTGAAAGTAAAATAGGACAGGATCGCGCGGAGAATTCTAAAATCGATACGCTCGGGGAATTAGTTAAAAAAAAAGAAAGAAGGTTCGCGTTGCGTATCCTCTTAAGAGAGAACCGTAACTCGACCTTCTCGTCGATCAGTATTCAACGAGCGTCCGCCATCTTGTTCCATATGGGTGAAACGAGTCATAGCTCCGTAGATCGTTGACATCGATGAAAGAAAAAAAAAAAAAAAAATAAGAAAATATCATCGAACTGTCGCGTTCGCGGTGCGTCATTCGAATCTCCGACGTTCGATAAACTCGACCGATGATCCGGCATCGATTCCGTAACCATCCGATTCGCGCGACCGTCTCCTGGCCTGGGTGTAACCGAAGCAGTTTTTATGTAACGCTCCTGTTTGCGTCCGTGCGCGTTCGCATTATTCAAAACTTATCCTCGTAACGCTGACGCGAACACGTACGTACCGAGGAGCAGCGCCACGAATAATTGCACGGCTTTCTGGAGTTCCAGCGTTACGAAAATGAATAGTATTAGGAAACCACGGATAGCATTGTCCATCGCGAAACGTAATTTATCGCGCGGCAAACGCGACAAAAAACATCGCTCGAAGAATGATGATTTACGTTCCACCATCTTCCTGAAAACAATTATCGCTAAAAAATAAACCGCGTCCTTGTTCACCGCAGAATCTGCTCCAAGTATGTAGGAATACAATTTTAAATAAATGAATCACTCGATCGTTTCGCGCAAAGTGAAACTACAAGCTCGATCCCATTCATAAAAATGGTCATGAATTGTGAGAAATTGTTGACTAATTAGTAATCAAAGTGTCGTGGCGATGATTTACGACGACACAGTGGGTCAACAACTTTCGACTCGAGGAGCAACGTGGCTTTTTATCGAGGCGATCGGTCACCGGTAACCTGGTATTATTTTACCATTATGTAAATAACGCGTGTAATAAAGACCTTTGACTCTGACAATCGCCTCGTCCCGATACGAAAGTCGAAGACGATCGAAACGGAAGGTAATTCGCTGTCCTGAATTGCTGAATGGAACTCAATTAGCCACGGAACTTCTTCTCCGAGCATACTAATGCCTCACCTGCGGCGCTTCGAGACGCGCAACTCGAAACGGTTCGTTTCTATTTAATAGCACCGCGAACATATAGATCTGCGACTGTAATTATCGCTACGCTTAACGTCGATATGGATCTATCGATCTATCAAGTTTCATTAACGCGTTGACTCGCAGACCAAATTTCCCTCGCTATAAAACCAGTTTTCAATTATTATCGCCGATCCCATTAGCGAATCTATTTATTTTTTCTCGAGAAGCGTAAAATTATTTCTGACTCGTTCGGGGTATTAAAAAGCTGTATAACCTGACCGTAATCTTTATGCTTCCACCGTGTTGTTAAGCAAATCTCCTGTATTATGTATCGCGATCGTACGATATATAAAATATAGCCGTATAAATCGTAGGAATGTTAATTCTTGCTACGATAAGTCGAATCCTAAGTGTAATCCTTCGTTGAGGCTAATTTATACTAGATAATGCGTATGTTTGTCAATTCTGGTAGCAAACGTGGACCGATTTTGCTCGAATTCCAATCGATTCTTACAACGAGAATATAGGATTTTAATTTGAAATTAGATGCAAGGATTCTGTTTGATTACGATGGTGTTTGCAGGAAAACATTCCAGTAGTGTTCGTGGATTTTACGGAACGATTTCGTCACGATAAACATATCGAACGTAATCTTTAAATACCTGGACGCGATGCAAGTACCGCGTATTATCGGTTAATCGACGAGCCGTCGAAATTGTTGACAATGTCGTATTATCGTTCCACGCATAGTGTACGTGTCTTTATTTGCGTCACATCGCTTCGCGTCGTATCGCATCGCGTCGTATCGCCTTGCAGCTAACATACCGTGTAAGCGAAATGCAACGACGCACGGCGAAACAAAACGACCAGACGACGAACAAAACTCTATCTCAGTGGTGTCGTAAAAATGTTCGCGCCTCTAAAGAGGAAATTACGCCGGGGAAACAGTAAACCGGGACTTTTAACATTTGAAAAACCACTTGTGTCTTCTGTAATAGTTCAAGACTCGAACAAATTGGGAAGATACGATTTAAGTTACTGAAGTTTCATGTATGGATGTAGGTTAAGTTCACGAGCTGAAATTTAAATTTAAATTCGTTGAAAAGATGTCAGTGTTTTTAATAATTGACAAAGGAATTGTTAAAGGTTAAATAAAGCAAAATTTGATGGGAAATAATAGCATTGGCGATGTGTGTCAGTAATACGCGATAGAGGCGCTGGTATGTCATGGCCGCCATCTTCGCGTCGCGCAGTATCCCTGACAACGCGGACGGAAGTGGAAGAATTCCACGATCCAAGCTCAAACAGCATCGATTTAAATAAAAAAAAATTCTTGAACAGGTATTCCAGATTTTTGTGAAATTTTAAACAGTTGCGATCGTCTGTAATCGATACCTCGTGGAAAGTGAACTGTTATCTCCTAGAAACGGATACAATTAGCAGCTACCTTGTACTAGATTTTCCAAGTAAACCTTGTCCTGTTAGACGAATTTCGAAGCATTTTCATACAGAGTTTTCGATGGAATCGTAATCGAGACACAAAGATACCAGATTTTACCAGTCTTTGAAGGCCACGCGACTATTTTTAAAGTAAGAATTTCAACCAGGAAAACTAGCATCCCGAATGCAGCTCATGAATAAATTAATGTACAATTGCTTTGCGTTGTCCGAATGAAATTTTCGCTCTCGTGGCTGGAACGGGTTGTTCCTTTTTCGCGTACCGTGTAAATGGATCGAAGAAGGTGAAAAGAAAAAGCGAGCAAGATGATTTCGAGGCAGTAGGTGGACCTAATTGACGCCGAGAACGCGAACACGTGTAGGAACTGGAGTCGCTCGTTATCGCACCCAATATACGTGTTAACGTGTAACCGAGCGGGCGTGGAGATGCGAGACGCGGACGTAATAATGAATATGTCCGAATGAATATGTTTATCCCAGCCATAGACGACAATAGCTGCTCTGTTCTAAATTAGACCACGCGAATATTATTTGCCTCTCCAGCTACGTTAAGTACGCCGACGAGATCGAAAAAGTAGCGCGAATTCTCCAGATCAAACATTTTTTTATTATTCAAGGACTTCGTAAAACGTAAACAACAGCAGAGTGGAAGTAGTTCGTTAGTCCACGGCAGAGCCTCTCGACGCAAATATGCATAATAATGATATTTATACTAACTTCATGAAATGATATTTATTTTAATCGAAGCAGG